TGATGTCTTCTCCAGCTGCAGGGCGTCCAGTTCGTACTTCAGCTCTCTCATGTCCTTCTCCGCCTTTCTGTTGGCCACCATGAGTTCACCCACCTGCTGCTGGAGTTCTTCTGCTTTCTGTCGGTCATGCTCTGTCTGGAGGCCTGCACAGGTGGGCGATGCATTTTCTCTACATGAATACTGGATTTCTGTGATTTTTCTTCTGGCTTCCAATTCAATTTTCTGCTTCTCTCTCAACTGTTTCTCTGCTGTCTGCTTTTGAAATGCCAGGTCTTTTTCCATCTGCTTCACCAGCATCAAGAGCTCTTCCTCTTTGTCTTTCTTCCTTTGCAATTCATCTATTAACTTGTTTTTTTCTTGCTCCAAGTCATTGAGACTCGAATCTTTCCTTTTAAGATGGTCTTCCAGTGTTCTCCTTGTAAACGTGTTTTCCTGTAACTGATTCCGGAAGTTGAGGAGGTTTTCTTCCACAGCCGCTCTTCTGGCCTCCGCCTCCGTCGTGAGCTGCCTCACCCGCTCCAGCTCCCGTTCCGCAGCTTCCTTCTCTCTCACGCGGATCTCCAGTTCCCTGCGATATTTCTGGGCTTCGCTTTCCGCTCGTATCTTCTGCAGAGCAATATCTGCTACGTTTCTCTGCTGCTTTCTCAGTTCATTTTCTGCAGCCTCCTTGACCTTGGGAAGTTCCTCCTCTACTCGGGACTTTTGTTTCTTTAGCTCAGCTATCATTTTCTCCAATTCACTTATCTTTCCTGTAAGTTTGCTATTCTCAATCACTGTTGCCTTCTGACGCTGAAGCAGATCTGAGTATGCCCCATGTTCAGAAGTCTCCTTACACCTTTTAATCTATAAGAGATGTTATGAAAACGTCAAACCCGTTCTATTCAATTTTATCTTACAAAATCTGAAGCAGTTTATAAAATTACTTACAAAACCATGTGAAACCCAAAGCAGAGCAAGCGCTAGAATGACAATGACCATGACCATCACTATCACCATGACCACCACCACCACCACCACCACCACCACCACCACCACCACCGAGAGGAAGGTTCAGAAACTCAGCAGAAGACAAAAGCAAAAACATTCATGCCAGGCTTCTTGAAACATAGAAGCTCTTTTGGTCTCTTGGGAATAATTTTATTAATACAATTTTTAATTTTATTTAATAAGCAAGTTCAAGATGTGACAGCAAAAAGAGACCTTACAACACATACAGCACGAGCCCAGCCTTCCATGACAGAAGGAACGGTGGGACACACTCACAGAACGGGTTCATAACAAAGCAGAAACACAACCTCTCATCGTGGTGTTTGTTTTTTTTCTCTCATGCATCACTCAATTCTATAAGAAGAGTATCCCATATGCAGGACTGCACGACACTGAAGAATTTAGTTTTCAGTGTCTGGCCCAGCGAAATGAAAGATAATATTTATGCTCCACTGTTTTATGGCTAAAGAAATAAAATACATAACTTTGGAAAAGAGAGCCAAATCATTAAAGAGAAAGGGAAATTTTCAAGAACAACTTATCATTTTTAAGTCCACTCTTGACTTGCTTACAGTTGCCATCTCATGACCACCTTAGTAATGAGAATTGCTAGTGCAAAGGCAGCGACAGTCCCTGCGGTTTTGAAAAGATGAGTTTCTTGCACATACTCACAGACTTTGTTGTTAATGACATGTCTCATGAATCCACCTGGACAAGTACCTCACGACACTCAGTAAATAAAAATTCTCATTAAATGCTTTATTAAATAAACTTAGGGTCTGAGGCCTAATATATAGACATAAGAACTTTTTTTTTCTCCAATGATAGAACAGGACTCAGCTGGGAGGAACACACATTACTCTGACTGTAGAACTATAGGATCATGGCTAGTTTTTTTAATTCAGTACAATTTAATTTTTCTTTATTAATACCATAATGCTATTATTTGCACATGCTCAACTCATCACATTAGAAACAATTTAAAAATAATTTGAACAGCAGTATTTTCCCCCTCTAAGAAGCTTCGTAGCATTTTCAAATTTTAATGTCTATTATGCTACATAAATCTTATTTAGCTCCCTCTAATTATTTGAGTCCTGGTAAGCTGGAGAAGAATTTCAGCTGTTCTCTTTGCTGGCCTAAATATGGTTTTACCAAGAATTCATCTAGAAACAAATCTCATCACGCACCAACTCACTCTCCATCATAAAGTCAATTCTGATTTAGAGCAAAATCTTATCACAGTCTACTTATTTTATTATCAGGACCACCTCTTAGTGACACTAAAGCATTTTACCCGTTTAATTACCAAAATTTAAATATTTTAAGACTAGGTGATTTTTATGAGGGCCTTATATCTAAGATTTTTAAAGCATTTTTAAAATTTAACTTTTTCTAATAGGCTGTATTTTTTATTGCTCATATTCCTAGGTTAAAAATTGCACACACACATATTATTATGGGAGCAGTTAGCCTCATCTTTCTCCCAAGGGACAGTTGGTAGGTTTGAAGCACCAACCTTGCAGTTAGCCATCCAGTGCTAACCCAACAGTGTCACCAGATTGACAGCACTGGACACCTTACAGAGGGTAAGTATGAGTCAGGATCAACTCGATGGCAGTGTGTGTGTGTGTGTGTGTGTGTATGTGTGTGTGTGTGCAGTTGATCTGATTCATAGCAACTCGTTACGACAATATAGAACTGCACCTTTAGGTTTCTCAGGCCGTAAATCTTTCTGGAAGCAAAAAGCCTCAACTAATTTTGTGGTTTGCAGTCTAATGCTAATACATATACATATACGTATACATATACGTATACATATACATATACATATACATATATATATATATATATATAGAGAGAGAGAGAGAGAGAGAGATGCAAGTATATATGCATACCTACATATGTGGGAGAGAGAGGTTCAAAAAGTTCACATAAAAATGAAATTATGAGATAATGAAATATTTTCATGAACCTTTTGAAGCCCCCTCATACATATTACATAGAAAAAATTCTCTTGTTGAACCCTCAATCAACAGTGATTTATTACACTGAATAACCTAGGCTATTTTAGAAAATACTAAAAGAAACACTGGAAATAAGTCAGTCCTGTTGCTTGAGTTGCTTCCTTGTAGATCTCAAGCTTCTCCCCATAAGGATAACTTCTCCAGATTTGCTCTGTTTCCCACAGAAATGGACTGACTATCCTTTTAAATCTCTAAATTAATCTTTAATGTAGTATGTGCTCAATAGAGACTACAGAATCTCATCATTATTTCTTCTATCAATTAACATACTCCACTCACAGGTCTCTAAGTTAATTCTGGATTACCTTTGAGTTTAAGCTGCACCCTTTATGATTGCACGTGTTTATTCTGAACATTCTAATCTTCACCAAGGACCCTCATTGAGCATCTTCAACAGCTCAAGTCAAGAAAACACTAGTCTTGAATCAGAAAGCTGAGCTAAATATCTTTCATAAGACATTCCATTTATAGTATCTTTAGGAGGTAATTATAAAATCTGGATTGTTTTATTTTTGTAAATCTATTTTTCATCTAATTTCAAAAGTCTACTTCTTTGCATGTTCTTTCATAAACTATCCTATCATGATTTTTAATTCACTATAAATCTTTGGCATTTAAAAGAAGACAAGCATGATTTACACATATTTCAGGTCTTTTGAGATAATTTGTTTCTATTAGCTTCTAGTATTTAATCTCATTAGATAAAATAAGCAAAGTGGCTCATCTATGTACAATCAGATATACACTATAACAAAGGAAAGAGATTTACATAAATTCATTTTACATTTAACCACTAAACATATAATTAAGATATGTTTTCTAAAACAGCATATTCCTTCATAAATGAGACAGCTACCATTGATTAGGGTGATCACCAATAGTCTTGTTTCCTTCCTTTGTGAGCCCAAAGGAAGCTGAATAAAAAGACTTGCAAAGAGCTATTATTAGTGTTTGGTTGCTGAAAAATGTTAACTCTGAACAGACTAAAATAGCTTACAAAAGTAATCACAGTTTTAGAACCTAAGAAAGTAAGACTTATTAAAAATTTGCTACTGTTTTTATTCTTCCATTATATGAGCAGAATTATACTAAATTTAATTATCTTTACAATTCCAACAATATTCCAATTTAAAATGGTTAATGCCCCATGGTTTGCTTAATTTAGAATCTTACTATTTTTGTCTGTTCTGAAGTAAAAAATAAGAGGTCAAAGGATCAAGCACAGCATACTCCCTTAAAGACTGAATATAGTAGGCTTTTATGGCAATATATAAGTACTTTCTTATCTGTACTTCAATATAAAAATAAAATTTGAAATGCGCTAAGGTTGTCCTCTGAATTAAAATAATCACTCACAGGAATTTCAATTTACATGTCATATCCTTTTGGCAAAAATGAAAACTAATCCTAAATTTAAAACAAACCAAAAAATCCCTAATTCCCCAGAAAGTAGCATTGTCCTATACAAACACCTACTACTTCTAAATCAATTATTTTCAAGATATAATTCTTTAAAGATGTGAATGAATATAAATATGTATAAACCAAACTATTGGAGACATCATAATAGCATTAAGTATAAATTATACTTCAAAGAATAGATGCTGAAAAAATCTGATTAATTTCTGCCAACATTTTATAATTTAAATATAACCATCCAATTCAGACATGAACCTTGTCATGCTAGAGTGCTAACATTAAAATTAGTCTTTCAGAGGACCTTTAAGAACAAAAACAAAAAAGTGGGCTTCCACTCTTTTCACTCTAATTTTATAACTTAAGAATTACTTGTATATCAGCAATGTAAATTTAACATGAAACATTTTGTTTTCTTAATATCTCAAACTATCCTGTAGGGGACTTCAAAAAGTTCATGAAAAACTTCCATTATCTTTTAATGCCCAGTTTCCACAAATTTTTTTTTATAGTTTCTGCACATGAGTATTTAGCTCAATTGTTAACTAGCTGTTCATAGTGAATGGTTACCTCTTCTTCCTCCAACCTCTTTAATGAATCACCAGCAAATTTAATATATTGTGTCATGAGAGTGACCAGAGCAGTATAGCGGGTCCTAAGGTCCATGAACTGCAAGTTAAACAGACAAACAAAAAGACATCAATTCCAGCTGGCCTGATGAGTTCAATCAACTTCGAGTAATAATTACAGTAACAGCTAGGCTTCGAAATAGTAAAGCATGCAAGTGTTCAATTACACATGGTAACTGGGCATGAGTTTATCACTGTTCTGCAAGCCGTAAAGTGACAAATATCTTTTCAAGGTAATCAAGAAGTACAGTGAACCCTCGTTTATCGCGGTTAATCGGTTCTAGACCCTACCGTGATCAATGAAATTCCGCAAAATAGGATTCCTTATTTGTAAATCAAATATTTTTGTAGTTAGAGCATAGAGGACATGAAAAAACACCCTTTAGTCACCATTACACTCGTATTACCCAATTTATTAAACGAAAAAGGGAAAATACAGTAAAACATTTTGGACGTTACAATTATCATTTATTATTTATTATATTATTTATGGCATCTAGTTTACAGTATTACATATTTCACATACAGTATTATTATACATAGTTCTTACAAATACTGTAATCAATGGCGTGCAACCTCCACGATTTTCTTGCCATCTTTGATCATATCCAAAAGTTTTACCTTTTCCTGGATGGTGAGCATTTTCCTCTGGCGCTTATTTTTATTGTCAGAAGGCTTAGAAGAAGCAGCTCGTTTAGGAGCCATCATAGGACTTACATAAAATTTCTTAAAAATCGCAAACAATTACAGTACACTGTACAAAAGCAAAAATGCATCTGATACGTAGCTCCGATACGTAGTGATGCAGACATAGCATGTACAGTATGAGCCAATCAGTGGCAGTAATGGCAGAGCATGCGCTGTTACGCAAAAACCACGATAGAGTGAAGCCGCGGAAGTCGAAGCGCGAAGTGGCGAGGGTTCACTGTACATAGATTTCCTTTGCAATTAATAACTGTCTTTAAATAATGGTTGTAAAATGGCTTTCCCCCCCTTCAGATCCCCATTCTTTCCTCTTCATCTCTCCACCTACCAACTCCCTCCAACCTTTATTACCTCTTGAATAATGAGATCTGCTGAGCTCGGCATTCTTCGGCGCTTCACTGGAGATTTTTGTTGTGAATCGACCATGGCTCGATAAGTCATTGTTTGCAATTCATAGTCCTGTGTAAAGGAGGTAATAAGATTAAATTAATGCAAGAAAAGCACACAAACTTAGTGCTATGGTGATTCCGCACAGAGATGTGGAGTCTAGTCTGGTTTCCCTGGAGTTATCAGGGTTTTTTTTCGTTTGTTTTTTAATAAATATTGCATAACTGCTTCTTGAGGAATCTACCCAGTCCTGGAAATGTTTACAAGGTGGTGATAAAATAAGAAACATATAGAGTAAAAAAAGTTTCCAAATTTATTTGGAAGCTCATGAAAACACTTCTCGTAACTTTCTAATTATACTCTCGCCTGCCTTTCCTCTAGGCTGGTCAACAGAGCTGTGGATCAAGATGGCTAAAGCTGAGAAGTTAATAACAATGAGCCCAAAATACGTGAGAAAAATACTGCCTATATTAAAAATCAGAAGTTCTTCTTTGGAATATTCTGCCAATGTTACGAGATAAAGAAAGAATGTAAACCAATTCCAGAGCTATGCATTTGTTCTGGATATGTGAGTGTAAGGGGATAAAGGAGAAAGAATGAAGGAAGGGATACGGGGCTGTAGAGGCTCAGATTCCATAGAGAAACCCTCTCTCTTCACTATTTAACACAGAGATAAAGGACTTGTCAATGTTCTAGAAGTACACTGTACAGTCACAAACCTGAATATTGAATTCAATACAAGTACTCTAATCTTCTTACCTTTACTGTAGTCGAGTATTGTTCTGCATATTTTTGACATTCATCCATTTTGTTCTGTTTCATTTCTATTTCAGACACCAGCATCTACAAATACACATCGTTTCAAGAAAAAAGGCGATGAGTTCTATGCTATTCCATTGCCTACTGTTGATGCTCAGGAACTAAGAAATATCCATACCATTTAATAGGATAGCTTCTTAGTCCTTTGAATGTCCATTACATTTATGAGTAAATGACAGACTTCTAGGTTAGACCGCTATCATGGGACTTTCAAATCAGAAACTATTAAATTCCATAGATAATACTCAAAAGCAGACTTGAAACCTTGGTCCCCAACAACTTCTGATCCTAGAACAAAACTCTCCAGGCGTTCCGCTCTCGATGTGGCTGTTAATTATTTCTATGTATTTATGACTGCACAGATACTTAAGCAGCAAAATACCAAACACTTTCCAGATCTATGATTAAATAATGATCAGGAATTTGAAAAATGTTCCTTATTCCCTATGCTTTCAATAACTTCTAAGAGATAAATGATTATGTGGGCTTCAGTTGCAGGATTTTAATGATGATTTACTTCTCATCTGCATTCACTAGTTGCTGACTTTTTCTTTTGACACGGGAAAGAAAGCGTTACCAAAGACAGGACTCATGATTGACCGAATACAGACACCACCTTAGTACAGAAAAGTATTGTTACACACCTTCTGCTGATTCAGCTGTGTGGCAAGGGTTTTACTATTTTCAGGTTGATTCTCCTGGATCTTTCTCTGAGTAGTTTCAACTTGCTGGATCCAATCATCTAAAGGGTGATAGGTATCTCTGTAGTACTTCAAAGATTTGGCAATGCCTTCTAAGTCTCTTAACCTAAGAGAACAATTAAAACAACCATCAGTTCCAACAGTATCCAATGGGAGGACAGAGGGTGCAGATAAGGAAGAGATAAAATAACGATACCACAATGCAGTAAGCGAGCAATAAGTAGTATTTATAAGGAATTTAAGGTTGCTCCACATTCAGATTGGATTGAATAAAACATTTTGCCCTTGGATCAAATTTTTGTAACTTAGTGATAATGATTATTTTAGAGGCAAATTCTAAAACCTGAAGCTAAAAGGCAAACTAACAAAAGGAAACTGAATTATGACTCGTCACCATCTCTTAAATAATCAAGGCTTGCTTAATGGAAGTTCAAATTGAAATCATGACAAGGTTATTCAGTGAAACCACGAGTCATGATTCAATCCCTCAGTTTCTATAAATTTAGAACTGCTACATGATATCTATTTATCACGTATTTTACAAAGATGAGAAAATATGTATTTAAACCTAATTTTACTTTTTTAAAATGGTACTATCTCATAAGGAATATTTACTTTTTATTAATAAAAGCATGAAAATAAGTAAGGGCATCATCCCATATATTTTCAGATGAGCCTTAAAAGCAGCTCAACTTTTTTTTAACTTTATTCTAATATCTGGATGTATGGTTTACATATTTTCTTTTCTCTTCAATTAAAATGCCATAGTTAGTCCTGTAAAATACATTGAGCCACACTCTTACTGAGTCAGTTCTTTGAATATTAAGTTAATAATAAGATAATTACATTGTTTCTCCTTCTAAAAAAGCAAATGGACTAACTATACACATGCCAGAATACATCCAAAGTTTTAATAATATAGAATTGAAAAAAACTTATTTTGAAGTTGACTTGTCAGCCCGCCCTACAGGGTCCCTCTGAGTCCTAATTAACTTGATAGCAGTGAATTTGTTTCCTTTACATAAATCTGTGCTAAAACTGCACAAAAAGTATACTAACCTGTTGTCAATTTGAACATGAACATTTTGCCATCTTTCCACTAATTGATCTGCTTTTTCTTTATGCCAGTCAAAATCAAGGTCTCGTTCTTTGTACGTTTTAAACATTTCATCACTGATGGCTTTAGCTTTCTGCAACTCGTCCTCTAAGGCATGGAACACCTCCCTTTTTTCATCTACCTCAGACCTCCATTGCTAAAATACATTAGGGAAAATTACAAAAATGTGACAATCACTTGGTAAATGCGTTATTTACCTCCAAACAATGGGCATCACATCATTCTTATAAATATTACACTGAGTTAAATGTTAAGCAAAAGTCATTTTATTATTTTTAAAAATACATACTAAATCCCAATGTTAAAAATTAATATATACATTAAAACCACCGAGACAACATCTGTTGGTTTTCAATAGTCTTAGTGTCATATATATAGTCATACTATATATAGTATATATAGTTTTACTTAGTGCCATATATAAATACAAATATAGATAAATATAAATACATCTATCTATAGAGTAGATATAGAAATCCTTTGTGTAGAATATATAGAGTATAAATATATATACATACACACACAAATACAGATTAATACAATTTCCAATAGATTAACTCCACTACTTACCTCCTTTATTTTTTAACAGAACTACCTCAGCAAGTGCATCTATCAAAGACTTTAATGTTAGCTCCAGCTCATACAGCTGACAACACACACTGACTACAGTTACAGTCAAATAGCACAAAATTCAAAGAGAACTCTACTTAAGTGTATTAATAGGAAATTGTGATAACATAGAGCTATAAAATGGAATAAACAAGTATTCAATGAAAAGCCGCATGCTACAAAAACTTACAGTATGATTTTGAAAAATAAAAGACTCACACCTTTAAAGTACTTATGAGATTTTCAATATTATTCTTGTCAGCTATAACTGCTTCTTCTTCACATAATTTAGCTTCATAGAGCTTTACAAGGGCTTCTGCAGCTTGAGTGTTTTTCAACACCAAATTAACAGTTTTCAACCTAAAAAGGGGGATAGTTAAAAAAGTCTCTTATTAGGTAAGTGAATTTGATCCCCTATCATGCATTTATACTTAAGGTACCTTTATGACAGGTGATAATGGTATATTCTTCATTTCAGAACACCTGAAACATTCTCCTTAGTAGACATATGTTTCAACCCATGCCCTTACCACACGCAGAATTTAGTAAGAGATTTCAACATAAGACTATCTTCTTGAGATCATGTTTAGTCCATTCTTGAGTGGAATAATCTATATGCTACAACACCTGAGCTACCAAATTTATAGGCAATGTCTAGGAAGATTATATTGTCCATTAATCCCTGTGCCTTTAGCACTAAGAAGTATTATAAATCCAAAGATATATTTAAGAAATAAAAGGGTTTCATAAAGTTCATAGAAAAAGTCTAATTTTAATGCCATTTTCCATGAACTTTTTGAAGCTCCTTCATATGAGGGAGTACCAAAAAAAAAAAAGGAATTGCACTGGGTGGCATGGAGATTTCATACCACACATTTTCCCCACTAGGCAAGTATGCAGCAATGTGCTCTGGGTTAGTGCATCCAGTGGTGTTGTCTGGGAACGTTCTTTCTGGTCACAGCGAATTTTTTCATAAAAGAAGTTTCATTCAAAACTTGCTTTTTGTCATGGCCTATTTAAAAGAACAGTGTAGAGCTGTAAACTTTTGTTTCCTGCCCGGGAAAAATGCTGCAGAAACTGTTGTGATGTTGAACACAGCTCACAAGGATAGTGCTATGGGAAAAACTCAAGTGTACAAGTAGTTTTCCCATTTCAAAAAAGGTGAAATGTTAACTGATGACAAACCTCATTCTGGATGTCCATCAACTTCCCAAACGGATGAAAATGTTGACTCATAGTGCATTTGGAATTCATTTCTCCAGGTCATACCGTTAATTAAGCTTCTATTTAGAGATTCTGAAAAGATTGTCTAACAGTGTATGATGAAAAAGACCTACTTTGTGGCAGAGCAGGCACTGGTTTTGCCACCACAACTATGCACCTGTTCATGCAGCTATCTGAGTGCACCAGTTTTTGGCAAAAAACAGCATGCCTCTCTTGTCCTATGCACCTTACTCACCTGACCTTGCTCTGTGCAACTTCTTTTTGTTTCTGTGAATGAAGAGGGACATGAAAGGACAGCGATTTGAAGTAGAAGAGGTGAAGAAAAAACCAAGGGAGGTGATGTCAGCCATCCAAACAGATGAGTTTGAAAAATGTTTCCAAGAGTAGAATCACAGATTTGACAAATGTACTAAGTGTAATGGAGAGTACTTTGATGGTGATAAGGTTGTTTTGTAAAAAAATTTAAATGTGTCATTTTGAAAAAAAAATTCCAGTTTTTACTGGGTGTCCCCTCATATTTCTTCAAGCAAAATAACTTGTCATGCTTACATCCCTAAGAATTTAAAAATGAACAGCAGTTACGTACTTTTCTACATAAGTGGAAGACATGGAATAGACTTGGTTCATGTTCTGAACAACCACGCTGAGCTCAGATCGTAAGGTCGGAACTGATGGAGAAGTTGATGCTTGGCTGAAAAACTCTTCACATTTATTTGTGATTGTTCCCAAATCATCTTTAAGTCGCTCCAGCTCTTTCTTTAGTTTCTATAAAATGAACACACACACACACACACACACACACACTCATATATTAGTCTAACACATCAGATGGAACATGCTTCTTAAAAGGATTTTAAAAGATTTTAGTCTACAGCTATTGACATAAACATCTTACATACTCTTTTCTCTATCAAGAAAACTAACCATAGGAGTCAAGATTTAAGCATACCTCCCTCACTGCTCATTCATCTCCTTAAGCCAAATATCTAATACTGCAGAGGATGAGCAAATGTCTCCCATTGTGAGAAACCAATATATTCTCCATCCCAAGAAGTGGGCAGAGATATAAGTTCCTTTGTTTACCTGAGACAGAGGCTGAACATCTGAATTACAGAATAGTTGCTTATCATCAGCAATTAATCAGACCTCCCAAAGGGACCAATGTGAAAAGTTGAACATGGAAGCTGACACAGATAAGCCCCAAACTAGGTCAGTTGCCACTGAGTCAAATGTAACCCATGGTGACCTCTTAGATTTTAGTTTAGAGCTGTGCTCCATGGTGTTTTCAGTAGGTGCAATCTTTTGGGAAAATATCACCAGGATTTGCTTCTGAGGCACCTCAGGACAGACGCAAACCACACACCCTTTGGTTAGTACCCGAGTGCCACCCAGAAAATCCTTAAGGTCATTAAAAGTAAATTACCTTATTCCCGTCACCATACATTTATAAAGCTCACCTCCTGCTCTGTAATTCTGAATACACTTTCAGGCAAATCATCTCTTTCCAATGGAGTTCGGATCTGTCTGATTAAACGATCTTCACAGGTCTCTAATCTAAGTCTAATGTTTCGAACTTCAGAGATGTAGAGATTGTAAACTGATTCCTCTTGCTCCTCTGTGAAATGAAGCATAATGATTAGAAGATATTTTCTACCTTTTGAGTGCTTTTGTTCATGCTAGAATATGGAGTTTTACAACATGGCAACTTAGTTAGCCAAACTTACATTAGTTATTATCATCAAAAACCGAGCCTGATAGCGTAAACCTTACCATTGTTGACTCTACAATTTGAAGTACTCATAAAATTTCCCCAGAATTATGTGTAGTAGATTTCTGAAAGTGTAAGGAAAGCTATGTACTGTTCTATTTCATTGATTTGAACTCTCTTAATTTCATCTTAATTGTAAAAATCAAATATAAAATCCTTAGAAATGAGAGTCATATCAAGAATGAGTTCATGATTAAGATTTTAAAAGCTAAAACATGATTAAATTAAAATGTTTGTCTCTACATAATATCAGTAGGCTTCAAAACAAAATTAACTAAACACATCTATCTTTTCCTTTGACTCCTGTAAGAAATTTGATTTGATGTATTAGAAAATAGCTAAATCTTTTTTGAAATCTAAATAATCCTCGTCCTGAACATTACACTGCAAAACGTTAAGTGTGGAAAATGTAGATGCACTGAGAGCTCATTATTTGTCGTATTATGTGATGACACACTTCCTTCATTAATTCATCTTCGGCAGGTTCCTTATAAGTTCCCACTTGAAACGTGCATTTAATGTTCCAGTAACTGTGTCTGTGTATCAAAGACTGTGCGATCTAACACACCAATTGCTGAAAAGTCCCACTAAGAGCATAACATAGCCTCTATTGATCACCTAAGGGAGGAAAGAAACGGACTCCCAATCATTACCTCTTTCTGCAGATTTCAGAAGTTCTTGATAGTACTGCTTACAGACATTAACTTCCTTCTCCAATTGGGTTATATCTGAGCCTGAAAATACTTGAGATTCCTGGCTATCTTCCAAGAAATCTTCAAAATGAGATTGTAGATTGCTCAGAACTTGCTGATGTTCACCGGGTAACATTGTCTTTATCTAAAGAAGACCAAAGATCCATGTAACTACGTGATGATAGTTCAAAAGGTTAAGTTTTAAATGGGACAGATCTCAACTTAGTATCGTGGCATAGGTCACTTTATACTACATTTTACAAAGAGAAGAACCATTGGAAATGAATTTTCTTTTTCACTAGTAGTTTTTGGGTCTTAGAAGACAAAGAAAATCAAGCTCTGTATGTCAAATACTTTGTCTTGTGTCCCTACCAGAATGTAAGCACTGAGTAAAACCCATGGCTTACAGATTTCCACAATTCTCACAAAATACCTTCTATGTGGCAGCAACTTAGCAAACATTTATTGAATGAATCAATATTAGCCTAAATCTACTGAGCGTCTTCCTCTTCTAGCACAGGCACAATGTCTACCAGCCTCCTGATAAGGGACCCCCAGGGAGTTGATGTGTAACCACAGACTTACTGAAGCCACGTTGCTAGCTCGAATTCTATCGATTTCACTGACAAGATAGTGCCAGGATACTACACTCTTCATGTTTATGTGAGACTCGTGCCAGAGGGCCAGGACATTTTGATACTGCTGCTCAATCCTGAAATAGGTGAGAAAAGAAAAGAAAACAAAACACAAATTAAGCCTTTTCACTTCTAAAAACTTCGTACAATATCCCATATTTACTACAGCCTTCTGACCAGTCCTGTGGGTCTTTGACCAAGTATTTCTGTCATCTTAAAAGTGAGCTGCAGTCAAGTTGGCTCTGGTTTATGTCCGCCTCACATGCATCAGCGTTGACTTGTGCCCCATCGGGTTTCACTAGCTATGTATGACCTTTAAGCAATCGATCGCCAAGTCTTTCTTCTCATGAATCTCTGAGCGTAGCTAAACCACCTTGTTAGTCAGACCACCCAAACCACGTACAGACCTGTTTGCAAAGTCAACTGCTTCTTTGTTCGGTGGAGGAACTGTGAAGCACACAGAGGGCACCATAGCTTCATTCCCAGTCGGACTAATGACCTTCCATTTTGCGCGATGAGAGTTGTTTGCCAATACACATTCATCATCTTTGAAAATAGTTATCTGGTTTAAATGAAGAACAGATTATTCAGCTGTTAACTACACGTTGCCATACCCAATCTTCATAATTTTTTTTGATGTGTGTTTTCAGTTTTTGAGGTGGAAAACTATTTTTACCACCAATAAGCAATATGAGTCCCTTATAGAGACATAAACATATACATAACTATATGGAGAATGACCAAGAAAGGTTTGTTCTAGGAGTTACGAGTACCTCGATTTGTCGGTAGTCACAGATAGCTTTAATCGGAATAGAAGTCTTGAGCGAACAGTCAGGATTCCGTGGCTTCAGCTGAACTACTGTTTTGGCTCTCCCCATCAGGCTGGCTACTGTGCTTTTATACTGCAAAAGTTCTTCTTTCTCTTCCTGAGGAAGAGTGAAGATAGATTAAAATTCACAAGATCTGTGCCCTTCTTGCCTCAGGCTTTTATTGTATTGTCATCTTTACTCTCTATCTCCCCTCTAGCACATACATACCATAAGGGTAGAAAGTCTTGTCTGTTTTGTCCCAGACCTCCAACATTAAAACGGTGTCTGGCATACAGAAAAGCCTTAGCAGTGTAGAATGCATAAAAGAACACAGGCAAAAACAACCAACAGAACCAAATCAAACCCACGGCCGTCAGGTTGATTCAGACTCAGAGTAAGCCTACAGCAGACACTAGAGCTGCTCCTTAGGGAAGCAGGCTCCCACGTTGAACCCCCACGCAACTGCTGGTGACTTCCAACCCTTGATCTTCCAGTTGGCAGCCCCGTGCTGAACCCAGTGCCCCACGAGAGCTCCTTAAACTCTCAAGGCAGAAACATCAACAATGAGCGTTTGAATGCTTGATTCAATAAAACAGATCCAAAAGACCAAGAAAGTTCCAAATATGTAAAAATACAGCAAAGCACTAATCACTGATGAGCTGCATCACTGAGGAGCCGCATTTGTATTTTGACTCGTACCATTGATTCCTGAACAAGGTCTTCGAGTTTGTGAATGCTGCTTGATCGATCACAACTGTACTTGCGCTGAATGGCATCCTTTAGATTTCGTAAGTAATCGGTAGCTTCTTTGGCATCACTGAAAAACTAGGGGAAGACAAAACCCGACAATTGGAGGACTTTAGATGTCAGTAAAGCACAGAGTTGCCAATAATAATCACATCCTTTGAGTCAAGCAACAACTCTTGAACTTTGGATAACTATGAATTAATGCTGAGCATCCAAAATGTATGCTTATACTATATTTTGATTGAAGGTCTGTTTTCATTTAGTATTTAGTACGTACAAATGTGTTTTATAAAAGAAATGAACTTCCAAGACTATTTCTGAAGAAAACTAAAGAATGGGGGAGGAGGATGAGAGATCACTTGGCTGACTGATTTATCCATAATCAAAACATGTCCTTAATAACAGACATAATTACAAAGATTTTCTGATATTCTGAGAAGTTTGTAGAGTATTTCTTCCTTAAGAGAATACTTCAGTGTGTCCTATGGGACATGAAATTCACCATTAGATCCCACCAAAGGATTTTTTTCTGCAAGGCAACCCAAATCCCAACACCATCTTCTGACGCTGCAGTCCTAATGACATACCTCGAAATACGCAGTGTTGTCCTTGGTGTGCCGCTCCACGCACTGGCAGAGCTGTAAGATCCAGCTCCACTGCGTCTGCATGGCTGCTCGGTAGGCCTGAAGGACAAAGCAGAGCCAGTGTCACTAGCTGGAGAGAAATGAGGCGGGCTGCAGTGACGCTCCCAAGGCGTGTGAAGAATCGATGGTGACATTCTTTTAAAGGAGTAAGACTTGAAAAATCCGAGAAGAGATCTAAGAGCCTGGACTTAGACACAGCTAATCTGAACGCTTACATAGCAATTTTTAAAATGAGTTTGGTTGAGCTCTTGCAAATTGAAAAACGTTTGCAGTTTTCTTCTTAAAATATATGGGCTCTGTGAGCCAGTCAGGGTGCAATGTAACAATGATGAGAAATACAACCTTCCTCTAGTTCCTAAAGGTTTCCTCCCCGCTCCCACTACCATGACTCGAATTCTATCTTGCAAGACTGGCTAGACCAGAGGAGGTACACTGGTACAGATAGGAACTGAAAATACAGGGAATCCAAGATGGATGAGCCCTATAGGACCAGTGGTGTGAGTGGCAAAACAGGGAGGGTAAAGGGAGAATGGGTAGGAAAGAGGGAACCGATTGCATGGAACTGTGTGTGACCTCCTCCCTGGGGGACAGACAACCGAAAAGTGGATGAAGGGAGAAGTCGGACAGGGCAAGATATGACAAAATACCCATTTATAAATTATCAAGGGCTCATGTGGGAGGGGGGAGCGGGGAGGGAGGGGAAAAATGAGGACCTAATGTCGGGGGTTTGAGTGGAGAGAAAATGTTTTGAGAAATGATGTACAAATACGCTTTACACAATTGATGTGTGTATGGATTGGGATAACAGTTGTATGAGCCCCTAATAAAATGTTTAAAATATATATATATATATATATGGGCTCTGGGGAGTGGTACACGAGGAACCTAAGTAAAACGTGAATTGGATGGAAGCAATCCCTACCATTCAGAAAAACCAATTCTTTAACCTGTCCCAACCCTCACACACCTGCCTCGTGGCTTCTTCAAACACCTTCCTTTCTCGGGACTTTGGGTCATTAGATCGTACAATACACGTTCTCACACAGAAATACATAGTTATACAGTTTTGCCCTTTGTTTTCGCTTCTAAAACTAAACCCAGAATCCGTTCAAGGAGGATAAAACACGTATTTTTTTGTTTTTGCCAAGAAAGGATTTTGGAGACTAAGGGAGGAGGGTAAGGGAAGGGCGCTCTGCTTCCAATCCGGTGAGTTCTCAATATTAACCCTGTGTTTCTGGGACAAACGTATTTGGTTACCTGAATTTTTATTTTCTACTTCATTTACGTCTATCATCCAAGAGTAAAAAACATACATAAACATTTTTAAAATTTTTTAAGTTTTAAATGTAAAAATTAGAGAAACATGTAAAACACTTTGATATATTTCATGTGAAATTCTCAGACTTCCTGCAGGGGGCGCTACAGATATTTTAACGACTCTTAAGCAGTGGTTCTCAACCTTCCTAATGCTGCGACCCTTTACTACAGTTCCTCATGCTGTGGTGAGCCCCAACCATCAAATTATTTTCGTTGCTACTTCATAACTCATTTTGCTGTTAAGAATCATAATATAAATATCTGATATGCAGGATGTATTAGGCGACCCCTGTGAAAGGGTAGTTCTACCCACTAAAGGCGTCGAGACCCACAGGTTGAGAACTGCTGAAAGGAAACCCTGTTCCTTCTCTCCGTCTCTCGTGTTATGCTCAGGCAGGCCTTCTGGGTTAACGTTATAGTGCAGCATCGAAAATCAGTCAACATGTCACAATCACATGATCTGCTGTCTTGAGTTAAGCTACTTTGAGAAAATTGTCAATAAAAACCATTATTGCGCATTGTGGGATTGGTTTCTTTTTCATTATAAAACATGAAATGGATAGTTAACCAAATAGTATTCCTGTAACAGGAGCCCTGGTGGCGGAGAACTGCGGTCCACAAGGCATGTAATTTGAAAGAACTAGGTACTCCTCCGGAGGAAGACGGGGCTTTCTCTGCCATGAACAGTGACAGTCTTGGAAACGAACACAGGCACTTTCACCCTGTCCTATAGAGGGCTGGTATGAGTCGGCATCAACCCCATAGCAGTGAGCTTTCAAGTTTATCCCCGTAACCACACAAAATACTGGATAGGTACAAAGGGATCATAAAGGTAAAGAAGGTTTAACTTTGTCCCTCAAGAAACTTCTATTTGATTTGATTAATATTTCTACATGAACATAAGTCACATTCAAAATTTCTAATTACATCTAAATTCTTAACCTATCATATTTCTTTAAACTTTCGTCTCTCTTCCCTGAGAAATATTCAACGTTTAGTCTATTCAGATCTTTAATTATTCTATTATAATTTTCATCCCAGAGTGTTTCCCTGACTCTAGTATGGCTTTAATATTTGTAAGTGGCACCTCAGAAGTATGTACAGCCCTATGGTATATATAACATCCCTAAAACTCTTCCTCAGGAGGCCTAGGACTTTATTAATCAGTTGTATCATGATCATGTCCCAAGAGCAGAGACTATCAGACAGATGCCTTTCCTGAGCTCTTGTCATCTTTCAAGCAGAGCTTGATTTTCCCTCTGGCAAGATGCCACACCTGTCCACATTTCCTCTCTGGCAAGGTGCCACATTGGTCCCATTTTCTTACGTAAACCCTGTCTCCATTTACATTTAGGAGTTATATAACTATATCTAGTATGGTAGCAGGTCTGAAAATTAAAATCTCCACTACCTGATAATGACCAAGGAAGTTCCTGGCTCGCATTTGACGTCTGCATTTGAAATAGTTGTGAGACAGCCGTCCCCAGATAGTGTGCACAGTTTGCTCTCATCTACTAACATAAAGGTTGCCAATGACCTGGGAATCTGCCTGCATGAACAACACACACAAGAAAACCCTACGGGCCAGTTATACTTCATGACACAACGGATCGCCATGAGTCGAAATGAATTGAACCAACAACTCTAGGTTTGGATTTGGGTTTGGGCTAGGAGACAGGGGAGGACTTATTTGAAATACTTGCACTGTACTATAAGGTCATGCCAGGATGCTGTCCCAACATACCTACAAAATAAGTCATAAAAAATAAAATAATTTTTAAAATACCATTCAACTCATAGCAACTTTCTACAAAGTTTCTGAGATGGAAAATCTTTATGGAGCACATAAACCTCGCTTTTCTCCCATTGAGCAGCTTGTGGGCTTGAACTGCTGACCTTGTAGTTGGCAGTCCAACGCTTCCACAGAAGCATTACCAGAGCTCCTTACATAAAGTTCTATAATAGATGCTTACTATTTAATACAATCTTTGGTACACAGTATGCTCTCAAGAATTATCAGCTATTAAATAAAAGAATAACAGCTAATAAATAAAAAGTAAGTTGTAAAAAAAAAGAGTAAGTTGTAAGCATACATTGTTTACTTTCTCATTTTCATGACAACCTTATAGGTTAGAAGCCATTTTCCTCACTTTTGAAAGAAAAATGAAGTTTAGTAAGATAATTTTCCCCAAAGGCCCTTTGTCTTTACAATAAGGCATTGACCACAGGGGATGACAAAGCTAACATTATTCTAAGTGACGGGAGACACACTTCAGAGCAACAAAGCTAAAGGCAAGAATCATGCGGTTTGCCAAAAACATTCATTTTGAAATTAGCCATATAGTTGATATACACCTTTCATAATTTGTATTTTCCTATCTGTTGGCAATAAATGTATCTAAAGGGTGATAATCAAATGTCAATATTCAATCACAACTAGCTTCCGGACTTACCTCAATAGTTAATCGTGCTGGGTGGTTTTCCAGAAGTAACTGCTCTGCTATGTCCTGAACGGATTTAATATTTTCTTCCTTTTGATCAAGTTCTCTCATTAATTCCTAATTTAAGAGAGGAAAAAGAGAAGTGGGTGAGAAAAAGGTCAAAGCCTAAGTAAGACTCTAGGATTCAACTGGAAAAGCTTGTACTCACAGCATGGTAATCTTTCTTCCGAGGTATGTTGGTATTTCTTTCACTCCAATCATAGGCAACTTCTTCCTCTTCCTTTTCATTCAACCAAATAAGTTCATTGGTTGCTCGAGTTACAAAATTATGGAGTGTATCAAGGTGTCGTTCTTGGTTTCTGGATGTATTCTTTATAAGGAAAATCGTCATGAGAACAGGTCTTTCCCAAATATAGATGTATTTCTATTTCAAACACCAAGGGTCAAACACTTACCAGGAGTTTTGCATACTGACTCTCTAGTCTGTGCAACTTCTCTGCATAAGTTAATTTAAGAGGTGCCGTCATTTGGATCTATAAAAACATGGTAAAAAGACACCAAGGTTAGAAATCTTAAGGAATTCTAACTCACAGTGAATGTATCTAATATTGCATTATAAGATCTGTATAGTGCTAAACAATAGTAAGCGAAGGTAACATGTATGCAGACTTTAAACTCACATACCTCACTGAGTTTAGCTTCCTTAAGGCTAGATTCAAATTCCTCAATAGCTCTGTGAACATTTTTATGGTTTTCTAAATGGCTTTCAACACTTGGCAAATCTGATCCCCATTCAGTACGGTCCAGCTGCACCTTTAAACAGTGAAGTGATAGGTTCAAAAAAACAGTTTTAGCAATAAAAGCTACCTCGATCAGGTGACATTAAGCCTCTTTACCTGCATCTCATCCACCCAATTCAAAAGATCCTGAACAAATTTCATGTTTACTTCCTCTTCTGTTAAATTCTGATCCAGCAAAGACGACTTTAGAAGGGGTTTTCGGATCTGCATCAACTTGAGAGTTTGCAATGAATTTGTTTCTACTCCTGAGTTGAAATTTGGGCCTAACCCTGATGGGAAACCAGGTGTGTAAGCTGGAGTAACCGATGGAGTCAGGCGGGAAGTCAGGCCTGAGGACAGGCCTGAGGTCATGCTGGAAGAAGTCAGGGAAGGTGTTAAACTCTGGGTCAGACCCGAGTTCAGGCAGGGATTTAAGGTCTGTGCAAATCCTGAGTTTAAACTTTGAGTGATTCCTGATATCATGAGCTTTGTCTGTTCCGTCGTCAGCAGGCGCCCTTTACTATACACAGAAGAACATTCATTCCTTAAGGCCATAATTTCATCTCGGAGCTTTGCTACCCTAAAAATAAAATGAAGAGGGATAAGGTCTACGATAAAAGGCACTTTTCGAGCAAAGGGTCACAAAGAAAAAAAGGCACATTTCTGAAACTTCCTCTTTTTCAAATGTCACACATAAACTTTTAAATACATGTGTATCATTACTATAGCATATTACAGCATTGGTTATTATAGCCTTATATCATAAAAATATTTTTCCTATTACTGATCTCTCAAAAAGAACGGTCTTTATACACCAAAGTATACCACAATTGATATGGCATACACTTCATTGAAGAGAGTAAAAAACATATTTCATGAACATTCACGTCTATTCTTATTACTATTATTGCTGTTAGTTGCCATCAAGTTGTGTCCGACTGATGGGGACCCCCATGTGGGCTGTGACCTTTCAGAAGTTGGGCAGGCCTGTCTTCCGAGAAACGTATGGGGGAGACCTGGAGGGAGGTGCCTTCAGTAAGTAGTTGGCTGCTTAATCATTAATGGCCCCCGGGGCCTCCTCCTGTTCATTAGTTCTCATGAGATGATTACCCTATAAAGCACAGGTATAAATAAGTAGCATTCTTACCTCTGTACTAACTGATCTGCCTGGTAATATTTTCCATCTATAAGAATCTGCACATCAATTACATGCTGGCGTAAAAGGTTCTCACATTCAAGTATATATCCGGCAATTTCTGCTTCATTCTGGAACTGCAGCCCTGATTCCAATCTTTTAGAATCCTGCATTTTGCAAAGAACTGAGTGTTAAAGGCGGTGAAACAGGTTGCAAACTTGGCATCAAACATAAAACTCCCAGGTATTGGAGCAGAAGCCCACACAGGGTCCCTTTGTTTTCCCTTGGCTGGCTCCTGTCCCTCAAGAGAGTCAGTTCCACTCACAATCTTTAACACAATTTACATTTCCGAAAAGAAGATATGCTTTTAGCCAATTACCCAAAATGCTATACAAGAGTTTCCACGCACTGAGCCCTCACTACCACAATCACAATGACTCCAAAAATTAACTTACAGACTGGAGGGCGTTCCGGGCGAGTATCAATTTGTCCTCACAGATAACACTGTCCCTCTGAACTCGCTGGGCAATCTGCTGTAACATTTCCAACCTAAAAGAAGGGACACACTGAATTCAAACCTCTCCCTTCGAACTTGGCCACTTCACCATCGCCATCAAATGCTGCCCAGCAAAGGAAAACCCACAATCCCCCACTCTCCACCCCAATACCTGTGTCCGTCAAGGGATTCACTGCCGAAGCTAATGCAGGAATTGATCAGCGTTGGGCCACAATTAACAGAGAGGAAATTTTCACTTGAATCCAGGCTGGTTCGAGTGCTAGTGGTGTTGCTGAACACAGAATCACTGCTGTGGTAACTGTAGCTACTGCTGCGCATGTTTATTCCTGAAGTGATGCTCTGTCTTCCACCACTGAAACCAAGAACCTCTGCAAAACGCACCACTTCTGCCGGTGAAAGGTGGCGGCTGAAGGCTGGGGCTTGAATGGCTCCTTAAATATGCCTCTACATGCATATTCAACACGCAGCAAATAACATGCTGATAACTATTCAAAAGAATCTCGCCTAAAGCCACAGGTTTGCTAGCTGAGGTTTGCTTTTGTAGCTTGCATGAAAACCCTACAAGTACAGACAAAGCGCCCCAATGGGCGTCACAGGGGAAAGATATGCCAAATATTTTCATCCCGAGTCATCTAGTTGCAACCACCTAAAAACAACTCAGCTGCCGCACAGGCGCAGGTACTACTAGAAAAGATGATTCTGGTAACAAGACCACGAGCTTAACAAACAAACAAACCCAAGCCAACCAATATTCAAACACATCCTGACGATAGCAAAGGGACAGATTGAATGACATGAGGCTGTGTTTATATAACCAATGACTCTGATAAGAAACAAAGTGTGCTTGTCATTTGTTTGGGGAGGTCAATTTAACTGGAAAGGTATCCATTGACCTCACTTTATATGGCCTGCTCTTATAGCCTGCTCTTAGTAATCTTATTTCTAACTGTATCAGAGTTACTGAAATTGTTTTTTAAAGCTAAAGCATTAAGTAGAAATATCACTGCAATGCTTGTCTGTGCTTGTTTCTCCTTTTTGATTTGCCTGGTAATTTTTTCCATCAATAAGAATTACACGCTAGCATAAAAGGTTTTCACATTCAATCTCATGTCTGGCAATCTCTGCTTCATTCTGGAATTGCAAACCTGATTCTACCCTTTTAGAATCCTGTATCTTAAAAGAACTGAATATTAACTCTGTGAAATAAGGCATAACAAGCCTGGGTCTTCTCATTTGTCTTTCAAATTCCCATGCCATGTAGGTAATATTTGAAATGCACAGTTAATGCCAAAAAAACTTGTTGCATCAAGAAAAATGAAGACATTTACTCAGCCAATCTCCTAAATATTTTCCTATGCCCAGTAGCACAAAGCCAAATTGCTACTTCTCTACTCTAAGGGTGGATATATATTTTTTCTTTTCTGAAGGCAAGATGGGGAAAATATGAGAATTTTCGTGAAATACAGCTACTAGCACCTAAAGGTTATCAAGCAATTATCTTCTTCCAGGAAATTATCAAATCACTTTCTATACATTAATCTCATCTTATACTCATAACCACCAAATTCAGCAGGTATGATACTATTACACCTTGCTTAGAAATGAGGAAACTGAGGCTTAAAGAGATTAAAGAACTTGCTAAAATTATACAGCTAGCAAACCAAGGAGCTAACAACCTTAATGCAAAAGTGACTGGCTCCTGGGCCCTGCCATCTTAACCACACACTTTTATTGTCGTCCTTTTGTTATGTGCCATGAAGTCAACTCCATTCACATCAACGCGCTGTGAATGCAAAGCCTTGCCCAGTCTCCCACCACCCTCGCTGCTGTTGTGGCTGAGCCCACTGGGCAGCCACTGTGCCCACCCATCTCCCTGAGGGTCTCCCTCTTTTTCCATGGCTTTCCCGAGTGTGAGGTCCTTTTTCCAAGGACTGATCTCTCCTAATTACATGCCCAAGGTGAGAGAGACACAAACCCACCATCTTTACTTCCAAGCAGCATTCTGGCAACTCAACTCCCCTCCCCATCCCCCCCCAACCCCACAACCTGTCCCGAAAACAAAGATTTGTTTCTTCTTCCAGCTGTACTTTGCGCTCTCTTTACTTGATCACTTCTTTTATTCGATTTGACTACTCAATGTTGAAAAACAAGTTTCGGAGTTCTCTTCTGTCACCCACGTTGGTCTTTTCTTTATTTCCTAACTTTTTTATTTAAACAGTTCTATTGGTACTTCATCCATGTATCATACAATTCATTAGTTCAATGATATCGACCAGAGTTGGTATTTCCTAACTGTTTGATGACCGTTTGCTCTCTCCGCGTATGATGTCTTGGTGCCATCCCACAACTTGTCTGGTCTTCAGTCACTACGGGTCGAATCTGTTCTTGAGAGGCTCTCTATAGTTGGGCGGAATATAATGAAGGACTTATTGTAGCTCTTGTGGATTTTTTTAAATTTTCTTCAGTTGCAACTTGAACTTGCATATGAGCAGCTGATGATCTGTTACAAAGTCAGCCCCTGGCCTTGTTTTGGTTGATGATATTGAATTTCTCCATCATCTCTTCCCATATGTTGTTGAATGGGTGAAGAGTATCAATAAAAGGCTCTGGTAGCAATAAATAAAATTGTCCTTATTTATAAAAAAAATGTTCTGAAAGGAAGAATTTGTTGGTGTTACAAATTCTCTCATGTGATCTCCCGCTGTTTCTATAATTCCCACCTTATTTTCTAACTACTGCTTTTTCAACTTTCCTCCTTTTTTTTCAATGTTTGCGTTCCAATTGTCAGTAATTATCAGTACATCTTCATTGCATATTTGATCAATTTCAGACTAAAGAAATTGGTAGAATTCTTCCATTTCTTCATTATCGGCTTCAGTGGCAGCTATTCACTGATTTGAATAATAGTTGTAACTGGTCTTCCTTGCTGGGCATATAGATATTATCCTATCTCAGACAGCATTGTACTGCAAGACAGATTTTGAAATATTCTTTTGGATGATGAATGTGACTCCATTCTCCTTGAGTTTGTCATTCTCTTCATGATAAACCATATGAGTCTCCAATTCAAAATGGCCAATGTCAGTCTATTCCAACGCACTGTTCCTAGAATATTGAATTTATGAATTCCAATTTATTTTTGGTGACTTCTAATTTTATTAGATTCATACTTTATACATTCTACATTCTGAGTATTAATGGATGTTTGAAGCCAGGTTTTTTTTGTTTTTGTTTTTTCATTTTTGAGTCTTACTCCACCAGTAAATGGAGAGCCTGAAAACGCTGCTCCATTGTGGTGGACTTTACTAGGAGGACGCTGCTCCCCCCTCGTCATATTTCAAGTGCCTTCCAGCCTGAGGGGACCATCTTCAGGCCTCTACCAGACAGTGCTCCTGCGCTAGTCATAAGGTGCTCAGCAGCAAATTCCTCAGCAGTGGACAACCTAGCCCTTCTTTGTAGTCTGTTCTTCGTCTCGAAGCACCACCAAAACCTATGGACCATGGGTGAACCCACTGGGATTTGAAATACCAGTGGCAAGCTTCCAGCATCACAGAAAACTACAATCCACCCCAGGAGGACAAACTGACATACAGGAAAGGTATGTGTTTTACTAACATTTATAAATATCTGGCCACTATTCAGATAACTAAAACTCTACTCGATGTATGTTCTCTGGTATACGTTTCCTTTCTTTTTGCTTAGTATCTCATTTTGATCACCCAGAATGAAGTTCCATCCTGAGTATTTCAAGCTTGTTTCCGTTCTAATGATCCAGATACACCAAACCCAGCTGCAGTTGAGCCAGTTCTGCCGCATGGTGCCCCCACATCAGAGTAGAGCTGCAATCCATTAGGTTTCCTGTGGTGTGTGTGGGGGTGGGGTGGGTCACTGAAAATATATTGTTGGGCCTTTCTTCAAAGACACCTCTGGGTGGACTCAAACCTCCAAAATTTCAGTTAACTGATGAGCACCTTAACCATTTGCACAACCCTGAAACTTCAACGACCCAGCTACTTTGATATACTATTATGCTTACTATAACAAAAGTGGAATCAATTATTTAATTGTTAAAGAACTGGAAAGTTAGGCTTGCTTTCTTATATCTTCATTATTTCATATTCCAACAACACAGAAGGCACTTGCAGAACACCAAGGAACATGAATATCTATATTGTGCCCACTGTATGAAGCACTGGTAAAACAATGAATAACAAAAAAGAAAACAAGAGTTTAGAACTTATGCTGCATAGCAGCCTGCAATTAACCAAATGATCACACAAATCAAGATCAAATGACAACTGAGAATAAGTGCAATGATGTAAATATGAGCATAAACTAGACATTTGATATAGTCCGGGAGATCATGAAAGTGTTTCTACAGAACGCAACCCTGGAGCTGTGATCTGAGGATGAAATAAACTCCCCTGCCAAAAGAACAAACTGTTCAAAAACCCTGTGCTTGGGAGAGGGCAGAGCCCCTGAGAGAGACGCTGTGTCTGCCATGCAGTCAGGAGGGTGTGAGGCGAGACGAGATCAGGGAGTTGTCAGTTTTTTCTCATAATATCTATCACAGGTTAGGTTAGATGTTGAGAATGCATGGTCTCTGTGGAGCTCACAGATCACCACTCCCACACACTACAGGTCACGCTGTGGCGAAAGGGGTAAACCAGACAGAAATTGATCCAAAAAGATCTTTCCGACAGATTACGCGATCCCATCTTGGGTGAGAAGAATGGTCAAGAGACAATGATGGCACTGTAGGAAAAACTAATTTGTAGCAGCGTAGCAGAAAGGAATCTCAAATGGACATTTACTGAGTGTCTTCTAGACTACTACCCCATTACTCTTTAAACGCTCGACTTTGGTTTCCATGGCCCCATTGACAGAAAGCCAGACTGAAAAATGTAGTAAGAACCAAAATAAGTTAATTCTTAACTCAAGAACCTGCAGATATAGGCTCTGTTGACTTAAGACCAGTCTTCAAGATTCTCAAGGGAAATTTTTATTGGCTTCGAAATTATGAGTGCCCTATACGATTAGACTTCATCCAACAACCCAGCCTAATAGACACTTGAGTGTATTCGCTCAGGGTCTTAGTCCTCCAGCCTTTTGGAAGAATTTATAGATAAGGAAGTGGAAAACCAGAGAAGCCAAGTGACTTCTCTAAGCTCACAAAGCCAGCAAGTGGAAAAGATGTTTTGGGCCTAAGTCTGTCTGGTTCTTAAAAGTTGCTGTATTTTCCATACAGGTGGGTGGGGAGAGAGACGTTCTCCATCTCTAGCCTTCCATCCTTGCCTACCTTTCCACTTCTGGGCGCAGTGCTTTCTCCCTCTCAAGCATGGCGATGATGAGTTTCCCCCACTCTTTTTCTATGTCATTTGGATGATAACCTTGCAGGAGTTTGATGCGTCCAAATTCTATCCAAATCTTGGAAAAGCAAAAAAAATTTCATGTGAAGCAAAAATTCAAAGTATAACCAAGTTTTACAATACAAAAGAATAGAGAAAGGAAACTTTGTTTACCTCTAACAGTTTATATAAGCGTTTAATTTTTGATTTTTCCATTTCCTTTGGTGGAATTTCTGTTTCTTTAAACTGTAAATACTGATTATAAAGTGCCTGAAATGAAAAGAAAAATAAATTAAGGACCACAAATCAAAGCCCTGTTTCATTATCTCATAATGTCACCAATTCAAATGCCAGATCCTTGTGTCGTGTGTATTCAGTGGTCTTCCTCTGAAAAATTCAACACCTGAGGACAGTAGCAAGTCCCAGACAGTTAGTGGCATGAATTATGTAAGAACTGAGGCAGGTGTAATTTGATAATATAATTACTCTAATGTGTGCCACACATCTGGATAATAATAAACTGTAACAGCGATTCCCACGGCTCTGCTAAGAATCTCTCATCATCCAAAACAGAACACATGATCTTTAAAATAAGCACTTTATAAAATGTTCTGTTAGCTTTTCCTTTTTGAAAAAAAATATTCTGATGTAGTGTCCCATAAAGGTAGGGAATCAGAGGGGCTGTTTTAGTCTACCCCCAAACTGGCTAGATCATTGAAAACTGAACTCTTATCATAGGGACAGGTTAAGATTTGGTTTCAATGATCCGTTGGCCAAATTATACAGACTTATAGATAAGCACCATGATGTGAATGCCTCAATCCTATAAGGAAATTAGTATCTACTTTGTGCATGTGAAGTTTTGAAACTTCTTAAATATAAATTATTTACTGTATTTTCTATAAAGGATCTTCAGAAAAATAATGTGTATAAAACATCTCCACATTTAATAAGTATACACTAATCTTGTCACGCTAATTCATGTTATAAAACCAGACACTATAAATCTTCAGGCAGGTATTCAATGTTTTGCTGGTTAACCAAATTATTAGACACTGCCCCATAATGCATTTCCTTTACTAGGCTTATCCCAGGCACAAGAGAGCAACCTGTGTGGTTGCTTAAACTTCTTCTATAATTTTAAGGAACATCATTAATCAGAGGGCAGCAAAAGTCTCTGAACAACAGGAATTTCCATTTGGAAATAAATATAGTTGAGGGCAAAGAGGAATATTTCATGAATTTGGGCAGCCAATAAGCACCAAATGCTACCAAATGTTGAACCCTGGTAACCGGTGGTGCTGGAAGGTTAAAAGGTTATCTTGTCCTGGACAGGTTTGCATCCACGTAGGGAGACAGCACCAAAACAAGTTTAGAACAATGTAAACACATCTTACCAACAGATGCCAAGTAACTTTATGGCAAAGACCTGTGGCAACTTGAGAGTTAGGTTTTTGTTTCTTTTTTAACATTTTATTGAGAGCTCTTACAGAGCTCCATAATTCAATTGAATCAAGCAGAATTGTACAATTGTTGTTTCAAACATTTTCTATCTTCTTGAACTCTTTGATATCAGTTTCCCTTTTTCTCCTCCCTTTCCCGCCCTACCCCCCAGGAACCCTTATTATTATATAATATATTGTTGTTATTATTATTTTCGTATCTTATACCATCCAATGTATCCATTCACCTAAATTCTGTTGTTCATTACCCTAGAGTGGGGTTATATAGTCATCATTGCTATCAGTTCCCCACCACCTCCATCTCTTCCCATACCCTCAGGAAATTATTACTCCAATTACTATTTCTGAAGTGTTTATCTATCTTGGATTTCATGCATCAAATGACCTTAATTATACAAATGAACATATGCAAGTCTAAGATTAATGAGGTAAAATAAGACCGTAATAATAATGAACATATGCAGGTCTAAGATTAATGAGGTAAAATAAGACCATAAGAGGAAATATTAAAGAACCATGGGATAGTTAGTTATGTTTCATCAGTGCCACACTGCACCCTGGATATATAATCCCTTCCATGTGGCCCTTCTCTGAAGGACTGTTCAATTATCTTATAGGTGGGTTTTGGGTCTCCACTTTGTCTATGCTCCTGTATGTCTATTTGATTGCTTGCTTTTGAACTTCTGATACCTATTCCTGTCAACGCCTCATGATCACACAGGCTAGTGTGCTTCTTCCATGTGGGATCTGTTGCTTCTGAGCTAGATGGCCACTTGTTTAACTTCAAGCCTTTAAGACCCCAGATGCTATATCTTTTGATAGCCAGGCACCATCAACTTTCTTCACCACATTTTGTCTTCAGCAATCATGTCAGGAAGGCAAGTATCATACATTGCCACATTATTAGAACAAGCCATTCTAGTTCTGAGGTAAGATTTAAGTAGAGGCCCGACATCCAACTGCTTCCTTGTTGTAGTTAGACACACACACACACACACACACACACACAAATATACCTATCCTTATTTAAACCTATATATATACTTTTTACTTTCTTGTTTGTTCCTCTTTTTCTTTCCTCCTGCCCCATTATCATGTTTACCCATCGTTCACCACTCAGTAATTTCTCTGTAAAAGGGTTTTCCATAGATGTTTTGTTCTGATGCATGAGCACAATGAGTAATTGTGACAAGTCTCATCCTGGGTTATTACAGTTTTTATAATTCCAGTTTAAACATGAAAAGTCTATAAATCAAGGAATTAGATCTTGCAGCTAATATTCACATGATCCATTTTTAAAAAATAGGCTACTCTACTATGTAATCCAAATGTTCAAAGTCATACGATTTGATCTTCAATCTGAGTCGTCATTTCTACTCCTATACCATCTTTACCTCAAAGGACTTAGCCTACATTTTTAGGTAGTTACAAAAGCTTTGCTAGACCACGAATTCACTTACTCTGGGAGTTAGACCCTAATTCTCAACTCTGTGGTCAAACAGATTGCATATACCCCCTGTTGCAATACAAAAAAAATACCCTCCCTTAGGCAGGGTTTAGGGACAGGCAAACTCACAAGCCCCATCCCTTGTGTGTGAGCTTCCCAGAGCCTCTCCTTTCACAGCAATCCAGGAGTTCCTAGGGGACTTTTCACACACCAAACAAGGTCTGGCCAGATCAGTTCCAGAGACTCTCCCAATTCTACCTTTGACACTGAGAGGTTGCAGATTTCTTCAAGCTATTGCAGCTATTATAACAAATATTTTTAGTGTTTATCTCTTTTTTCTCTGCATAGTTAGAACAGTAAACAAAACTGTTGCTTTTTAGTGACCTTCCAATTTTTCTTGAACTAAATGGAACCAGTAAAGCATTTTTTAAAAGTTTAATACTCCAACTTCTTTGGGGACACTGACCTTTAATTCCACAGGGTTATTAGGAAATGTTCTGTCAGACATAGTGGCCACGTGGTGTCTAATCCACTGGATGAGGTAGTTCACCATATTCTGGTACTCGATCCATTTGACTTCAACATCCTAGAGCAGTAACGTGATAGAGAAGGTTCAAAAGGTCCAAGACTGTAGAGACTCACATTCATATCTCCACACAATCCAGTCCGATATCATCCTGTGAATGCACCTATCTTCAAGTGTAACAGAGCCAACTCAATATTTTCTAATTTTTTATAGTTCCAAGAATTTCAAAATAAACAGCTGGAAAAACATTCTCTGAAGGCTTCTGAGGTTACATACAAGCACAGTAGAAAAAAAATGCTGTGGTCTATTTTAGATGCTTGCCAGGAGCTCAAAGGGATGCAGAAACTAGATTAGTCACAGTGTGTGTCAATCATTTTAGATCTAAGTCCATTGGATAATCTAAGTCCATTAGATACCTGACACTCAAAACAGCCACACAATACATAGGAAATTAGAAATTAATTTTAAAACGCACAATAAATAGATAGAGTGAAAAAAGAAGTAGAGGTAAAAGCCAGGTACAGATATGCGTCTGTAAACAGTCCCAGAGAAATGGCTCGATGTTGGGCTTCCATCTGCAATGTCAGCAGTTTGACCAGCTGCTTGTCGGGAGGAGGACAAGGCTGTCTACTCCAGTAGAGAGTTGGTCTCAGAAATGCACAGGGGCAGTTCTACCCTTGCCTATTGGGTCACTGTGAGCCAGCACTGATGCAACGGCAGTGAATTCGGTTTGGGGTTGGAAATAGTCACTAAAGGCTTATGAGAGAGGGAATTCCTAAGCATTCTTGAAATATGCATAAGTAACTGGTATGGGGTGTGGTAAGGGGTGTTAATAACATGACAGGTATTCCAAATGAGTCAGAGCACTGCACGGGAAATGCCCTGGCTACCAATAATCAACTCCTATTGGAACGTGGTAGACAAATGGTCCAGAGGATGTAGCTATGCAGACTTTCAAATGTCAGAATGCCGAGACTGGATTTAATCTCACATACAACAGGGTGTCTTTAAGTCAAAGACGCATCAGTTGACAGGGATAGGAAAGAACAAGCGGTTGGAAAAAACAGTTTACCAGCACAGCTCTAGTGTGGAAGGGTAAGGGACAGGAAGAGGTAAAGGACCACAGAACAGGGACTGATCAAAAGAAACATTCTGAAATGAAGAACTGGGCGGTGATTGTCTGTGAAATGTGATGGAAAAGAAGTATCGGTGATGATGCACAGTCTAAGCCCAAGTACATGGTCAAGGGGCGAGAGCACCATCAGAAGTCCGGCAGAGAGAAAGCAGCCCGTGTAGCAGAAATAATCTGAAGTGCTTCTTGGGAAATGTGAGAATTTTCAAATGGTGGTGGAACAGCCTAATGTAACAGCAGGTGACAGCACATTTGGGGTGAGAATTTACCCAAGGCATCTGGGATAAAACGCTTTGGAGTTGTTTGTTTTTGTTTTCCAATCCATCAACACGTCAGGCCTTCTTTAAGGAAGAAACTAACAATAATAAGTAATAATAACTCGGAGAATCAGGGCAAAAAGAATGTCAAAGACAGTTTAGAAAACGAGAAAAATAAAACATTAAAATGAAAATTTTAAAAGAAAGTAAGAGAAGGGGAACCAGGAGGGGGAAAAAAACAAAGAAATCAAGAAATAAACAAAGAAACAAAAATGGGAAAAGCCAGGTAGAAGAGCCTCAAAATGCCCCTAAAAGGATTCAAACATACGCTCTACATGTGGAGCACTTAATCGCCTATTACGTACAGTTCCCATGAGGCACTGTGTGTGCACCTGAGTCCATGAAATATGATCTCTTTTACTTACACAGTAAGGCTTTGTATAATTTTTGAAATGAAGCTATCCTAGAGGGCAAATAAAATCTGTTTTGAGGTGGACCATGGGCCAAACCTTCTCAATCTGTATTCTATCCTTCATAGATGTTTTTAACTCCAAGAAATGATAATCCCGGAAAATTTTGAATTGTTGACTTTTAGTATAAGATTCCTTCAAGGAGAACAGTGGGACAGAAGCTATAAAGCAAAGGAATGAAAACAATAGAAACTGGTAGCACAAGACAACTCCTTAAGAGTGGAGTTGGGGGTAGGGAAACAGGAGTGAGAAATCACGTAGGTGCTCAAGGAGGCAGCACGTTCAAAGTGAAAAGTCCAACCTGTGCCCCGGCCCCTGCCCCCTAAGAGGAAGACCTGAGCCTAGCTGAACAGAGGGGGGAGAGCTGGTCAACTGGTGGCAGGCATGAGAGAGGTGGGTGAGCACGGGAGCAAGTGACTCGGGGCTTCAGAGAGGACGAGGCTATTGGAGGAGGAAACAGGAAGTCTGGAGGAGAATGAAAACTGATGTAGAAACATCACACAGAGGTGACCTAAGGGAGTGGGGAAGGGAGACAGATCACCAGGATGAGCTCCGAAATCTTCCAAAAGAAATGGTCGGGGCCACGGATCTGTGCAGAGGAGGGGAGGAACCTGGGTGAGCGGGATTGTTTCCAAGTACACAAACAGAGCATGCTCAGATTTTCTGTTCTCTTTCAGAAACTCAGAAATGCTTGTTAGCATGACCGCTGCGACGTGCATAATTGAACTGAATTACAAGTAAGGAGCTCAAAGCTGTGGGTCAGAGATCTTGCCCATGCTGCTTACTAAAGAACACTGCTAATTGGGCCAAATCACATATCCTTTCTCTGAGACTAGTAACAAGAAAAACAATACCTAGTCAAGTGATCTCAAGGACTCACAGGAGCCAATAAAAAAAATTAGTTCCTCTCTCTCTCTCTGCCTACACACACACACACACACACACACACACACACACACACACACACTATGTATATACATAGCATGGAGCCCTGGTGGTATAGAGGTTACCCAATGGGCTTCAATCCGCATGGTCCACAGTTCAAAACCATTAGAAGCTCTGTGAGAGAAAGACTGGGCTTTCTACTCCCGAAAGCAGTTAAAGTCTCAGAAGCCCATAGCACTGACTCGATGGCAATGAATTTGGTTTGGTTTAGACATATGCACATACATATTTGTGTGTGTAGATACATATCTATATATATGCACATATACAGATGCATATATACACAAACACACATACATATACATAAACTGAACTCACTACCACAACTCATAGCAACCTTGTGGGGCAAGGAAGGGTTTCTGAGCAGAAAACCTCACCTTTCTTCCTTGGATGTCTAGTGGGTTCTAACTGCTGACCCTGCAGCTAGCAGCCCAACATGTAACCCGCTAATGCCTCCAGGGCTCATTTTATATGTGTATGCGTGTGCATTCACACACACACATATATATGTATGTACATATACATACACACACATAGCAAAAAGAGAAATTGGTAAACAGTAGCAGGATCAAAATTGAAATCTGTAAATTTCATTTATAAAATGACATGTAATTCTGAATGGTCTGTTTATGGCAGAGAGCAAATTTGATTGTGAGATGAATTTTAAATTTTAATGATGAATGGTGCCACAAAATGCACAGCATACCAGCTTGGTACACACGATTCACTCAAGTTCTTTTAAAGCTATTTGAAATGTTATCATTGCACACAGCGCTGTCAAGGAAGGCAGTCATCTGTTCATTGGTGAGTCCGTAGCACTTAGTATGGAAACTCAATACTCACATTAGCACTGATGCCTTCGCCACCCTCAGGGACTTTGGGAAATGCATCATAGAGAGATGACACGTAAGTTATTACTGACTTCTCATCAGGTGAGGAGACATCAACATCTAAAAGCAGCAAGATATAGTGGTTATTTAACAATGCTGGTAGGTTGCTTTTGATCACACTTCATATTGGTCTATAAAGAATAAAAGATAACAACTCACCCTCAGGATCCAGAAGTCTTATAACCCCAATTTTTTCCGCTACATAAAAAGCATGCTCTAAGTTTGCCAGGTTGCTCTGAACAGCGACCGTGCTCATGTCTATCAGGTCCGGCCTAGGGGAAAAGTCAGGGTGTTAATGAAAAGTTTCCAACATGCCAATGCAAAACCACGTTTACATGTGCACCACTCACACAGTACCTTCAACAGAGACGGATACAACGCTGGTGTGAAATACAGAGAGTAACAGTGCTTACTTCTCTCAGAAATGTGTGTGTCCCCAATAGAACCACAGAACACAGAAAATATAAAAAGTGCGATTTCTACACCTTGCAACCAAAATTACAAACTCTCCATAGCTTAAAATACACATCATATCTGTCCCATTCAACCTATGGAAGTTCCACTTCCACGATAGGCGCTCTCCATGCCCTGACCCATACACACAAAACACTCATGCCGAGCTCGTTGCCGCGGCCTGTCCCCCGTCATGGGGTCGAGGTGGGGGTGCTTTCTTCTTTTTTGCCGCTTCTAATTCTACTCATCCTTCAAGGCAGAGATCAAGTGTCACTTTCTTTGTGGACTCGAATCTCCCACCCCTCCTTTCTTTGTCTATTCTCCGACCTCCATCTGGTGGCCTATGCCACTCTATTTGGCACTTAGGATAATTAGCTATTTTTCTGCCATGTTTTCACAGTTTCATGTACATGCAAATCCGGTTTCATCTAACTAGCCACTTCTAATGCAACAGGAGCCATGTATTAATAAATTTTTAATTTTATTATTCTGCTGAGATGCAGTGAATGGTAGAAAATACACATTACTGATTAAGTTGGTAGACCCAGAAACCCACTGTCATTGAGTGGGACTGCCGACCAGTAGCAATCGATGTAAGCTTTCCAAGACTGGAAATCTTGATGGGAGCACACAGTCTCATCTTTCTCCTGAGGTGCAGTTGGTGGGTTTGAACCTCCAACCTTGCAGTTAATAGTCTACCACTTACTTGACAGCGCCCCTAGGGCTCCTCTAACAAGTTGGCAGGAGTGATCATTTAGTAATATGAATTATACATGATGACTGAAAGAACTTCTTGTTTTTATACCTACACACGGAGCATAACTTCAACTCTTTCTACTTGGTGAGCCTCACATGTCACGTTAAACCATGGATTATTTTGAAGCTGCAGGGATTGACTTTATGACAATGAGTTTGTGTGAGTTTCTAGCTGTATGAGACAAAATAAAACTTTTCATATATTCCTTGGCTAGTAAGGGGTAAAATGCGGTACCTGGAAGCTTAATGCAAGACCAGAAATCTCAAAATGAAAGCACTGAAAGAATATAGAAACAAATATGGAAACAGTAAAAGCTTCAAAATCACTGAGTCAGAACTTATCAACGAAGACCATCTATAACCTCCACAGGCACCGTGGTCTGCTCAAATTAATCATTTGGGGAGCCACACAGAGAGAGAAGGAGGGCTCAGAGGTAGTAAAGGAAGAATGAACTGCCAATTATTTTAATACTATTTGGCAGGTTGTTTACATGAGAAAGTGAAAATATGAGGATGTCATTAATCTTAGAAGATTATTTTTACCTGATGAGAAAGTAGGCTTCCACTACTATTTAACAGTTTTCTGGCACTTGCAGCAGCCATAACCTTTGAATGCAGCCACCACCCACCTAAATCTCTAGACATGAGTAGGATATTCTTTAATGTTACCATACGCCATCGACCCTACATAATATTACTGGAACAGCTGATGTACAAAAACAATGACGGTAAGCAATACACCTCTGGAAATAACACCATTTAATTCACACAGAAGTATGTTACAGGATATGCCAACTGTAAGAGTACCAAACAGGGGTCTATAACAGTCTAGTCAAAAAACAAATATCTACAATTCTTTCAGTAAAGTTTTTTGTCTCCACAAAGCTCACACATTTTGAAGAAATAAAAGCTGGTCTTTCTGAGTATGCCGAAGCTCGCAACAAGAGAGAGCAGGTTGTTATATGAGCCCTGCCATTAGCAGAAAGAGCAAACACTGAGTCATCCCAGACAGAATGAATACAGTCATTGAAGAATCAGGTTTTTGAGCTGCGAGAATAAAACATAAAACGTTCTTCAGAATGACGTCGTCGTTTCAGCAGAAAAGCAGCTGTACAGCGCAGTGAGTTTGGACAAACCCCTCTTTTATCACGGTCGTTAGCGTCTTACTGGAACAAAAGCTGAAATGCTTTTCCTCCATAAAAGACTGCCGCCAACAAAGAAAACTTTCAAAGAAAGAGAGAAAGAAGGGAAACTTAGAAAATCACCAGAAGGGGGGAAGAGACTAAAATCTCCAGGACTCTGTCCCTCCACTAGCTCATCGAACAGGCTGATTTTCACAGATCATTTCCACAATCTTTGATCTGCTCTTCCTCTCCTGGAAGTGGGAGCTGATGCTGTAGAGGTACGTGCTGCATCCTGTCTACTTTCCTGCTGTTTCCCTTTGCTCCCTGGGACGGTAGAACGTTGAATAAGCACAGCTACCTTCAGCACACGGGAGATTGTCCTCTCCTTCTAAAGGCTTCACTTCACTGAAGCATCTCCATTTGGCAGAACACTCACAGGAAGTTTCATTTCGCATCAGACTCCCCGAAGGTCACAGCCCTGTTCCTGGATTGTATTTAGACACTGGACATCACTGCTTCATCACTCTTATGGAAACCTTCCACAATCTGAATGCTATCTCTGTCCCTAAAATACTGTGTACTGGCTCTTTTAATAGGTAAGGGACAATCTAACACTCGTTTTATTGTTCTATGAAAAGGTAACTTTTTCTAAATGACCCATCACCATGGATAATAAGTTTTTAAAAACATGTATTTTGATTCCATGTGTTCCAGAAATGTTTACAAACAGCATACAAAGAAACAAAAAAATGCAAGAAAATAACAGTATTTTTAAAAGAAAAAAATGTAAAACAAAGAGGAGGGAATACACTACTGTTGAAAACAAGGCACCAAAAGTATAAGCCATTTACATGCTTGGTGGCTTTAATCTGTTTTAAAAATAATATGGCAAAGGGTATCGAAAAAAATCACTATTGTCACATGCAAGATAACCACCTAACCGCGATGTTGACTCCTTGGGTAACATCCATCTGAAAAGTGCATTCCACCCAGACAATAGTTAAACAAGGACATGTAAGTGGGTATACGTAAGGGAGTATGGAATCCCTGGAGTGGCTGAATGACTCCGTGCCTGCTACTAACTGATATGTGGGCAGTTTGAACCAGCCCAAAGGGGCCTCGGAAGAAAGGCCTGGCAATCTGCGTCCCAAAAGCCACAGCCACTAAAAACACAACCCTCCAGAGCTCCATTCTCTTCTAAAGTCCTGGGCTGGCCAAAAGTCACAATCAAGTCCACTGCAACTTGTTTTGTGTTTGCTGCTTAATAGGGTATATTTATATGTAGTATAAAAATATCGCCACACAAACTAACAGAGAGTTAAATAAAGTTGACCTTTCAAATCGTATGAGATATTTTTGTGAATCAGAAAAACTCAAAGTAAATTTCTGGTCCTCAAACAATTTAGTAACAAATTAGTACATTCAAAAAATAGATCAGATTCTACAGAAAGGCATGACTTATTTAGAATGTCTGAAGATTAGCACAAGAGACTAATACTGTGTCATGACAAACCTGATTATACTCAATGACAGAAAGATGAAACAAAGTCAAAACAGCTGAAGGGTAAGATGTGATCGTTTGCACCTGAGCACATGAGGGAGCACATTGAAAACTGTTAGCTAAGAGACAGTACATTCGTGCAGACACATGATATCAAATCCTGAACCAAAAACTTCACAGTAGCTGAAGAGGTAAATTTAAGAAATAGCCATAAAAGCCAAATTAATTTTTTTTGTGTTTTGTTTTACTTTAGAAACTAAAAATTTTAAGTGATTCAAACTCATGAACTTTGTTGAGATTTTATTGGCACTCCATAACAATTTATTGAAATAGAGGTGGACAGCTAGGTTTTAGATGCCCAGTAGGTTTTAGATGACCAGCTAGGTTTTAGATGCCCTTTCCCATGTGCAAGAAAGTTCCCTTTTAATAAATCTTGCTGCTAGAGAAGGACAGAGCCAATTTCCTGTTACAGAAACAAAAACACATGCAATTTTTCTGTCTTTCCTTTGCTCAAGCAATCTCCATAGCCCGCCCACCCACTTGTACAGCCACCTCATGCCCTTCCCATCATTCTGGTTCTACCATCATCCTCCCCTACTGCCCACCCCAACCCCACCGAGAAACTCTCTTCTCTGCTCTCAAAGGTCCTGTGTTATCACTGCTTCTGTGTTTACCACGTTTTTAAATAACTACATGCCTGTCTCACTTCACACTGTGGGCTTCCTGAAGCAGGGGCTGCCTTTTAACCATGTTCTTATCCCTAACTGTTTGCATAATGCCTATTAACATTTGAATAAAACAGTGGCTGTAGGGGGCTGGAAATTCAAAAGCCTGGAGACATATCCCATCCTAAGTTTGTTCTCGCTCTCTCTCCTTTCACTGACTTCCACAGTCATAGGTTGGGATATGGGAGAAAGAGGTGGCTATCTGCTCCCAGAGATGGACAGACTCACAACCCCCAGAAAGGGTCACGAAGAGTGGAAATAAAGTCAACGGCAGTGGGCAGATTAGAATATAATCAGAGAACGTAAACAGAGAAGACATAACTTAGAGCTGTGGTGGAATAATTACAAAATAATTTTAGCACTCATAGATTATCGCATTTGTTCCTTTATTTAATATTTAAAGCATCTACCATGTACCAGACAGTGTGTTAAATATGCATTGAGAATAAAATAAATCTCAACCTAAAAATCCTTGCAAATGAATACGGAATACATCTAAACAATCACAGACATAACCACAACCACAACTGTATTAAAGGCTAAAGAGGCCAAAGACACGAGCCATGTGCTGGAACTTAACCAGAAAAGGTTTTCCCAGTGAAGTGCCATGGCCATCGCCTACCTGACCCCCGTACAACTGCAACTGTGTTCAATGCTACAAAGGTAAAGGACGTGGGCCAGAACCCAGTGCTTCAGAGGAAACTTGGGAGTAA